CACCGGGGCCTTTATTGACCCATGGGTCAAGCTGCGGACCTACGACTTTGGCTACTTTGGGCACACCGTACCAAGCCTGCTCATCATTGCATTGGCACTGCTAGCACCCTATATGTACGAGCGGTTTCGAAGTCTTCTGGTCTTAGCGGCAAATGTTGTCAGCATCTTGAGCGTCCCCGCAGCGGTCGCATGGGCGCCTGACGGCCTGCAGCCGCTGGGGCCGGCCGTGTTCATGACTGCGGCAAGGCGACGGATGGGAGCTGTGTACTTTGGCTGGAGGGCCGTCATGCTCCAGGTGAGGGGCGACATGGAGGTCCCACCGGTATTGTTGCCGTACTCACTACCCATTTTGTCGAACATGACTGATGGCACCGCTGATGGCGTTGTGTGCTATCATCGGATGCTCCTATGCGCTTAACCGTACGTCGCCACGCTCATTAACTCATGAAAGGTGCGACATTTATCCCTCGCCCCGCAGCTACCCGCGTCACATCAGCTGCTTGTGGGCCCTTTGCTGTGGCTGCTATCTGTCATTGCTACTCGCGCCGTGGACCGCCGGCTGCTGCCCCCGGGGGCCTCCCAGCCGCAGTACCTCACACCCGGCCAGGCAGCCCTGCTCTTCATCGTGATGGCCGTACTGCCGTACCTGGTGGTACGAGCATGGGAGCGAGCTTACCTGCGCCCGGCATACGACAGATACCTGCTCAGCTTCCATGTATCCAGCCGTGCGGCAGCCGGTAGCCGCGGCCCTGGGCGTACTTGGAGTGCTCGCGCAGCCGCGCGGGGAGCTGCGCCCGCAGCAGCTGTAGCGGCCTTCACGCTTCCCTCTAGCGGCCCGGCTTTGCCTGCCGTGGCCCGCCCTTCAGGTGTCGCGAGTGTACCCATACTGTACCGGTCGTCCATGCAGCGCCGTACCATCAGCGCCAAGGTTCCCCATCCCGGTCTCAGCTTCCAGGAAGCTCAGGCACTGGTTTCGAAGGCGGCAAGCAGCGCTGTAGCCGCTTACAATGCGTCCGGTGCTGCCACACCGGCCAGCGGCGGGGGAGATGCATCCAGGCACCTGCCGGCCCGGCTGCTGTCGTCTGTGTGTGTGGAGGGCTGCGTGCAGCTGCTGATGAGGGTGGGGTTGGAAGTTATGGCCGGTAGCGATGGTAGCAAGGACGGCGGCGCCAGCTCGAGGCATCTGAGCATAGGGGCGGTGGCGGCTGACGGTCAGCTGGACGCATCGGCAGTTGAAGTAGCACTGCAGGACCTCCTGACAGCCGCAATTGCTGGCATTGAGAAAGGGGGTGGAGACAGCAGCAGCAGTGCCGACGCTTTCCTTTGGCCGGCAGTGTTGTCCTCGATAGGATCGCTGGAGGGTGCTGACGGTTGGGACAGCCGTGCGCTTGAGGTGGCGCAGGTGCTGGTGCTTGCCCCCTCCCGGTCGCTGCGCGGGCTTGGCTCCGTGCGCTGCGTGGTGGCTGGACGCGTGGGGGCGGCAGGAGGAGGAGGCGGAGCAGGAGGGCAGCAGCAGGCGGTGGTGCAGCTGGACGAGGTGGTGGAGGTCGCCGCGGCTGCGGAGGAGGGTGCGCATGTTGCTGTGAGGTAGGTGTGTCGCACCTCGTTGCTAGAGGGGTCCATTACTCAGCTAGAGTAAGGCAATGCGAAACAATGCCAGTAGCAGGCGGTGCGGTAAAAGGCGCGAAAGGGCGCTATCGACCCATGGGTCATGCCCTCAACGCCATGCAATCTGAGCGAAACAGAAACAGTGTGTGCCATGCGCGCGCGAGCATCATCCCGACCCATGGGTCACCTAAAACCCGCTGGTAAAAAGACCTGGGATATAGCAACATGTAGCCGCACGTCGCACGATTTTCGTCGCCGCAGGCTGTCCCTCCCCCCCGCCGCCCTGCGCACCCCCGGAGCCCTGACGCTGCACCTGCTGCCGCCGCGCAACACTGCGCCGCCGCCGGACCCGCAGCAGCAGCAGCAGCCGCCTGGGCCTGACGTGGCGGCCTCAGCGGCTGCAACGGCGCCGCTGGCCACCCTGCCGCTGCTGGTGCTGCCCGCCGCCGCAGCCCAGGAGGTACGGCAGCTGTACGGCAGTGTGCTCGGCGGCGACACGGTACGGCAGCTGGAGGGGATGCTGATGACGAGGGATGCGGCGGTGTTCGACCGGACTGGGAACTTTGCTTCTGCCGCTACCGCAATCCACGAGAGCGGCCTGACGAGCCTGGCGTACGACATCGGTGACACGGTACAGCTGTCGTACAGTTCAAATACGGCGCACCTAGCCGACCCACGGGCTGTCGCCATGCACCTCCTGCGTTTTTTCGCCTCACGGCGCCTGTTCGCCTGCCTGCTGGAGGGTCTGCGAGCGCTGGGCAGTGCGGGTGTGGAGGTGCGGGATGTGGTCCGGGAGCTGACGGCTGCGGCCGAGGAGGGCGGAGAGGGAGGCGGCGAGTGGCTGCAGGGTTTGGAGCGGCAGTTGGGGCAGCTGGGGCCGGTGGAGGCGGATAAGGAACCTCAGGACCCTCCGGAGCCTGTCACGACACGCACAAATGCGGCCAGTGGCAAGGCTGGCGGTGGCGGCGCTTCCACCAGCGGCGGCTCGAAGCCCACAGCTGCTGCAACCAGCCCGGCTCCTCCCACGGGTTCTGGCATGAGCCTTGCCCGCCCTCCATCCCATGCCTCCCGCCGGTCCCTGCTGGTCTGGTGGCTCCACGCGCTGCTGCTGGGCTTCTCCCCGCCCGCCCTGGAGCGATCCTACCAGGCATTCAAGGCGGCGCAGTGCCATCGCGTAAATAAAATGGGCCTAGCCATTACGTTCGGCATTCACCTCATACCCACGCTGCGCACGTGGCAGGGGATTGCTAGGCTGTCTGCCTCCACAACTGGAGTAGGGGCCCGACGGATGGAGCATGCTCAGTTGCAGCTGGCGTCACAGCTGGTTGCTGTGGCACCTGGTGCACTTGTCTTGGTGGTTGCCTTCTTCACCTCCCTGCATGTCAGGTAAGGTGTTGGGGTTAGGACTTGGGAGTAGGGTTATGGTGCGTAATGAACAAGCAGCGAGACGAGCTGCCGCCGTGGGCCGCCTCACTATACTTACATGGCCTTTAATAAGCAGGTTGAGAAGTTGCTCATGTGTGAAGACTGTAGGGCTGCTACCTAACCCGAATAGTGTCCACACTAGTGATGCGTCGACGCAAAATCCCTTCCCTGCGTGTGCCGTTTGCTTACTAGTCCTTCGAGTTGGCCTGCAGTTTCCTTGGACACCGCTAACTTTCCTACCTGCTCGTTGAACAGGCACCGCAACGCACTTCTGCTGTCGTACACCTACCTGGACTCCGCTGCACTTGTCCTCGCGTTGCTGCTACTGCCGATACCCGACGTGTGGATCGAGGGAATCCGTCGCAAAGGCCTGCACTGGGTCATGTACAGTCTATGGAGACCAGCAATGCTGCAGGTTGGTAGGCGGGGTAGGGTATTAAGAGACATCACAACCTCGGTACGGTATCAGGCAAGGAGAAATACTTGTGTAGCGCAGGAGTCCCTTGTCCCTGCTCACCACCATACATGCTGCAACATCCTGGGTCAGGTCACTGCTGTGAATGGTGCTCGCAAATGGGTACATGTGGACTTGTGGACATACATGTGGAATGGAGTTTGCAACCAGTGAACTGCCGCGACCAGTTCCTCTGTGATGTCCCCTTGCTGCAGTTGTCACCGTATCTCCAGATGCGGGCCACACTTGCGTACCTGCTGCCGACGCTGCTGCTAGTGCGGAAGGTCTACGAGGGTCGCTGGGCACCTGCGCTGATCTTTGCTGTGCTCAACGCGCTGTGCAACACGCTTGTCGCTTGCACCACCGACTTGCCAACACGCTGGTGGTTTTGGCGTCGGCAAGTCCTACTGGTGGCTATCGAGTAGGCCCTGAAGGTGAAGGCCGGAGCAGCCCTCAGGGAAAACATTCATCATAGGGGCAGGCAACTGAAAGAGATGCTGTAGTAGTTTTTAGCTTGTCTTATACGCAATCATAACTGTTGACACCTCATACTGTACTGTATTCCTGTATGCCGTCCGTATGAGGTGTTGCGAAGGTCCATGTTGTTGTTGAGGAATCACGCAGTAAAATGGCATTTCTAGTAATGGCTACTGACAACCTAGCGCTGGATGAGGTGGCGCTTATAACTTACGTAGGTCAACATCGCTGTTCACGGCATCAGCTGTAAACACACACATTGTCTGGTGCGGGTGGTGCGCTGGTGCCTACAGTCTGCCACCACACCGGTGGCGTAGTCAAAATGTAAATGTACATTATATGCAGAAGAGGATCATAAGTACTGAGCAGAAGTGAGATATCTTCCTTACCTTCCCACTAGGCGTATGTGATCCAGGATCCAACATCGGAGACATGTTCGGAAAACAGCAATTATTTACCGGACCGTGGCGAGGTTTGGTAAAGCAATATAAAATATATTTGGGGGTACTTTATATTACACACACAGTAATAGTAGGCGGCAAGCTGTTTCAACTAGCCAAAAAAAGAGAGTGCCTACAGTTACCTTTGCGTGTGATATGGTTTTATCGAATTTGTAGCAACTGAAAACCACACGCAAAAACTCTGGTTGTCCTATACACCACATCCATGCCTAGAGTTGGCATGCATGAGCCGCACTGTATCGAACATGCAAGAATTTGCATTCCAACTTTCTTCGCAGCGTGTTACTACTCAAGGATTTGTTACAATGCTCTCATAACTTTTTATAGGAAGTCCCTGAGAAGTCCAGCCCTCGTGAAATCCGCCCAATGTTTTGCCTATCCGTCACGCCCTCTTCCGCTTGCCTTAGGCTGCCGGATAACAGCTCCAGCGCCGATGGAGCCAAGCGGAGGGGCTAAACAATGATACCCAAAGCAGGGTCCTTCAATCGCTTGCTGGTTTAGCGAGGAAGTGTAGGTTCGCTGCAGGAGCAGCTTTGCAAACATATGCATGGTACACTGTCCGTCCGTACCCCTCTGCACCTCCCAGATCCTATGCGTTGCGAAAGACAAATCCCTCCGCCATTCCGCCGTAGCCTCACATCGGTCAGTGCTATACTAACAAGAGGACTTTGCTAACACTGACATGGGTACATTTGCATGGGTACACGGGTCGGCGTGGGGCGCTTAAGGCTCATTGCTTACGCAATGAGTGGCCGTTACGGAGGTTCCCAAGAAGGGAACCCCGGTGATGGATCCAATTGATAGAAACGGGGCAAACTACAAAGAACGCAACAGGCAACCAAAGACAAAGCGAAAAAACTATGGGAGGCGGACAAGAGAGGAACGAGAGGCAGGAAGAAAGGAAACAGCCAATGGAATGGCCCCTCCTCAATACGGTAGTATCTTCTAAGTCCAACAGTCCTCTCCTAGTTTGCATGTATCCAGTAGCACTCACTATAAGTAGCAACCCAGTCTATATAGCAACATTCTATATAGCAACTTGTTTGGATGAAGCAAACACATCCAGGGTATTTCAACCCACTATAAAAATTGTACGTCTCAGCTGTACCTGTGCACTTCATATCCTGCATAACCCCAATCCAGGCATGGAACATCGGTAAAGGCCCACAGAATAGCGTCAGGTACGTGGACTCAGGTACGTTGGAATGGCACGGCCCTCGGCCAGTCCGAACTAAAACCTCATTAAGAACTACACGTACGCCAAACTGACTGCGAGAACTACACCGTCACGTGGGTCATCATAACGGTAGGTAACCTTAAGGACCGGAGTACTTCACGCATGGCCCCGCAAGGCGGCAAAGCGCCGGCGCGCCCGCCAGTCTATGACGGCTGAGAGGAGCATGCCGCACACCGCGCAGCTTGCAGAAAACACCAGCGCAGGGCGCCAGCGGCCGCCGTAAAAGTGTCTCATGAGCAGGGTAATAGGGAGCAGGTTTGCCAGGGTGGCCCGTACTTGAAGGTATGGCGACAACTGCGGGAGCAGGACGGGGTTTAAGGTGAGGGGAAGACGGGTGCCCTTAGGCTTTGCTAGGCCGGAAACGTAACAAAATACGGTTTTGCAACCATGTGACAATACGTCATTCACGCAGAACGCACGTGGCAACATGACGGCCGCTAAGAGAGCCACGTGCGCACTGCCACGCGGTGCCAAATGTAGTCACGGCAGCGTTCCAGCCTAATCACCTGCAGTGTCGCCGGCGCCCAAATGCTGCGGAGGACCCAGTGCAGGCGGCAACGGCGGAGGACCGCAACCCACACATCGGGAATGGGCAGCAGAGTTGAAGCCCAGGGCACGGGGAACGTGACCACCAGCAAGGCTCCTGCGTCCAGGCAAGCCGCCAGCAGCAGCAGTGTGTTACGATGCCTGCACGAAGGGGTTTGAAGGAGCAGTAAGGTGGTGGAGTAAGGCTCATGGCTCATGTCCCAGGTACAGACAAGAGGAACAGGAACAGGATCTAATGCACGTCGCCTCGCGCACTGCACGTCTATCCACCTGACATGCATGCGTGTGAAAAACGCGAGCGCCAGCACCACAACTGCCGTTGCCAGCAGCAGCGACTGGGAGAGCAGCTGCAGCCTCCATTGAGCCACGCGGCCGCTAGACTCGACCAGTGGCATGTACTGTGTGCCACTAGCGCACTGGCCACCGCTGCTGGGGCCCATGCTGAAGGTGCGCAGCGTGAAAACATAGCGAAACATCACCGTCAAGGCCAGCGCCGTCCGATCCAGGCAGAAGCTCTGCGCCGCCTTGAAGGCCTGGTAGGATCGCTCCAGGGCGGGCGGGGAGAAGCCCAGCAGCAGCGCGTGGAGCCACCAGACCAGCAGGGACCGGCGAGAGGCGTCAGGGCGGGGAGGGCGTGCGAGGCACATGCCGGCATCCGTGATAGCTGCTTCAACGTTTGCCGCTGTGGACTTTGAGCCGCCACCCTCCGCAGCGCTTGCGGCGTTAAGGTTAGGTGGAAGCTCGGCAAGGGTCACAGTCACTCCCATTTTTCCCGGATCCAGCTGCCCTAGCTGCCATACCACCCCATGCAGCCACTCGCCGCCTCCCTCTCCGCCCTCCTCGGCCGCAGCCGTCAGCTCCCGGACCACATCCCGCACCTCCACACCCGCACTGCCCAGCGCTCGCAGACCCTCCAGCAGGCAGGCGGGCATGCGCTGACGTGTGAAGAAGTGCAGGAGGTGCATGGCGGGAACCCGTGGGTCGGCTGGTTCACCGGGATCCGCAGCTGTGTGGTACGACAGCTGTAGCGTGTCACCGATGTCGTATGCCAGGCTCATGAGGCCGCTCTCGTGGATTGCGGTAGCGGCAGAAGCAAAGTTCCCAGTCCGGTCGAACACCGCCGCATCCCTCGTCATCAGCATCCCCTCCAGCTGCCGTACCGTGTCGCCCCCTAGCACACTGCCGTACAGCTGCCGTACCTCCTGGGCTGCAGCGGCGGGCAGCACCAGCAGCGGCAGGGTAGCCAGCGGCGCCGTCGCAGCCGCTGAGGCCGCCGCGTCAGGCCCAGGCGGCTGCTGCTGTGGGTCCGGCGGCGGTGCAGTGTTGCGCGGCGGCAGCAGGTGCAGCGTCAGGGCTCCGGGGGTGCGTAGGGCGGCGGGGGGAAGGGACACCCTGCATCAAAATCCAACAAAGCAATGTACATCAGCAGGTACATCACACAGATACGTATGTTCGCCTGACGCGCAACATGGGCTGCTGCACTATTCCTAGCTTTCTTTAGTAGCATCGCTGTAGCCATCGCAGGGCCATCATGGGCAGTTAACTTTCATCTGTCCCAATCACACGCCACGCCTCCACATACATACCTGAAGAAACCATGCTCGACCTCTTCAGCCGCGGCGACCTCCACCAACTCGTCGAGGTGCACCACTGCCCCCAGCTGCTGCCGCTGCTGCCCTCCTGCTTCTCCTCCTGCTAGTCCGGCCACCACGCAGCGCACGGAAGCAAGCCCGCGCAGCGGCCGGGAGGGGGCAAACACCAGCATCTGCGTCTGCTCCTCCTCGTCCTTCTTCTCCTCCTTGCCCACGGTGCTCAGTACCTGGTCGTCCTTGAGCCCTTCAGCAGGCTTCAGCGCCAGCACAGGTGGCCAAAGGAAGGCAGCACCACTGCTGCTGCCGCCAGCACGCGCCTCCGTTTCAGTGATAGTGGCAGTCAGCAGCCCCTGAAGGGCCGAGTCAACCGCTGACATGTCCACCCCGCCGTCCGCCGCGGCCACCACCACCTCGACGCTCCCAGTTTTCCTGATGACATGGCTGTGGCTCCTGCGTCGACCAGCAGCCCCCTTCACTCCCTCGCCCTGCAGCACCATCAGCAGCTGCACACAGCCCTCCACACAGGCCAGAGACTGCAGCCGCACTCGGCCTCGCATGGCGGCAGCGTTCTGAGCAAACGCCGACCTAGCCGCGTTGGTGACGAGCGTTGCCCCTTGCTCAAAGCTCAAGCCGCCGCTGCTGCCGCCCTCTCCGCGCGGCAACCGTACTTTTAGGCTCATTATCATGGTGCGGTCGCCCCGAGGGGAGCGGTAAATGGGCCCAGGCGTGACCTCCGTGCTGCCTACGTCGGTATCAGGACTGTCGGAAGAAGCCACGTCGGAACCACCGCCATGAGAGCCTGGCGCGCTCTCGCTGCTGGATACGGTACTGCTGCTGTTGTTGACGCCGCGAAGGTAGGCGTGATAGCGCGGAAGCAGGTAAGCTCGCTCCCATGCTCGTACCACCAGGTACGGCAGTACGGCCATCACGATGAAGAGCAGGGCTGCCTGGGCGGGTGTGAGGTACTGCGGCTGGGAGGCCCCCGGGGGCAGCAGCCGGCGGTCCACGGCGAGCATGGCGGTGATTAACAGTAGCCAAAGGAGGGGGCCGACCAGCAGCTGAAGTGATGCCGGCAGCTGTTGGCGGGGACGCCGTGACATACACAGTTTACAAAGGGGTTGAGCTTAAAGTGGTAAAGGTGAATGTAAGGAGTCTCGCCCATATCGGTTTGTGCCGACGCCGATACACGCTGACATGCATCTTTACCACATGGCTTGGCTTCTGCATCATCTAAAGTGTCCTATGCCCAAGTTTGCTATGTTAGCCCTCGACTCAAGGTAGCTTACCCGATGCACGATCACCGCTCGCCAGCCGTAGTACACAGCCGCCAGCCGCCGCTGCGCCGCGCTGAAGAATGCCGTGAGCCCCAGCGGCAGCAAAGCCTCAGGCACCCAGGCAGCAGCTACGTGGGCACTTAGCAAGCCGAAGACAGTCGCAGCAACCACGAGGGGGTTTCGGAACCGCTCGTAATGTTGGGGAGCGAGCAGCGCCAAACTAACTGTGATAATGTTCGCCAGAACTTGCCCGAGGTAGCCGACATCGCAGGCACGCAGCTTGACCCATGGGTCAGCCATCGCCCCCGTGCGGAATACGTACGCCAGCTGTCCGGCGTAACTGGTGTTGCAGGGGAATTCGGAAAGCAGGGTGGCCGTATGGCTAACGACATGGTCATGTAGCGGCAGCACCTGATCCAGCCCGTTGGGTCCCGGACCACACATCATGCTGACAATAGAGTGCAGGGTGCACGGCGTGCTGAACAGCAGCAGCTCCGAGATCGGCAGGATGATGTCGGCTAAGCGGGCTCGGTGCGCGAGCCAGCGACTGAAGCTGACCTGCTGCACTGCCTCTCTGGCCATCTGGGCCAAGCTAAGGGAGGGCGGCCGTCCTAAGCGCTGCCAGACCTTGCTCAAGAACAATGTTGCGGAGGCAAGCAACGGTAAGCACAGGATACTATCTTAGCAAATGCTAACGCGTTGTCAGTTCCGACTCGTAGTGGTGAGTTCTTTCGCGCGGTAAACCTGGCCTTGGACACTCAAGCCGCAACCGCCTGCACGTTTGGGTGAAAGGTTGAGTAGAGTTATTTCTATCCGTCCCAGTTGCTGCCTAACTTCCACACGTGAATACACAGAAGGTAAAAATGTTGGCAAAAAGGAACAGATTCGGGCACAGAGCCCAACGTTATACGACATGACCAACCCTGCAGGGCCCCCCCGGATCATACGAAGCACAAGCTCACAAGATTTTGATTCGATTTCATGGTACACAGTGCCACCGTTTGGTCAGTCTTTTAGCCAGCCAGTAGGACTGACCAGCTACCCTAACCAGCAATAGTTAGGCACGGTGGCCGTAAAATAGTAAACTACTTTGGTTTGCAAAGGTTTGTAGGCCAATCTGGGAGAGCATCGCTTCTGCAACCATGTAGTGGTAGAGCCGCATTGAGTTGCTCATGTCACTAACAGTTACGGCGGCTGCTCGACAACGTCTTGGCTTTGCCTAAATGGCTAGCAGCACGCACGCTACAACTAGTTCGGACAATGGTAGCAAGAGGAAAGACAGGTTCCGCACTATCTGTGGCGACCATGGGACTGGCTGCGAGGCGGCGCAACGCGTCAGCTTTGGACGTTGGTTTGCGCGCCGAGCCCGGAGGACCGACGTTCTGCTGCTCCTTTTGGAGTTACTGATTTTCAACACACCATACGTTGCGCAGTCCATGTTGGGCCTGCGCTGCGTCCCAGTGGGCGGCGGACCGCACGCGGCGCTGCAGGAGCTGATGCCGCAACTCGACCCCGCCGCCAGCCGCGCAGATGCAGTGCTAGCCGGCTTCCCGTGTAACGCCAGCTATACCGGACAGCTGCTGTACGTTCTGCGCACTGGGGCCGTTATTGACCCATGGGTCAGGCTTCGCACTTACGACTTCAGCTATTTCGGACATACCGTTCCAGGTGTCCTGATCATTGTCTTGGCGATGATGGCCCCGCGCATGTACGAACGGTGCCGTAACGCCTTGCTAATCACTGCCAACGTCGTCAGCTTGCTGAATGTCCACGCCGCTGCCGAATGGTCGCCTGACTGCCTGCTGCCGCTGGGCCCGGCCGCGTACATGACTGCGGCAAGGCGACGGATGGGCGCTGCGTACTTTGGCTGGAGGGCCATCATGCTCCAGGTGAGCGAAAAATTTGCCTTCCCAGGGGTGCTGCCTGCAATACCGTATAGAAGGCGGAAGGGCGCTAGCATGAAGCCGCATCGCAGGAAATTGAGACAGCATCGTTACTTGAGGGCTCAGCCATGAGTCGGATGGTTCTAAGCGTCATTTGCCACGTCCACACGGTTTCAATCGCCTAGAACTCACCGATGACGCGGCTGAAGTTTTGATAAAAGAACCGTGTTTTAATCCCCGCAGCTACCGGCGTCACTTCAGCTGCGGGTAGGCCCCTTGCTGTGGCTGCTATCTATCATTGCTACTCGCGCCGTGGACCGCCGGCTGCTGCCCCCGGGGGCTTCCCAGCCGCAGAACCTCACACCCGCCCAGGCAGCCCTGCTCTTCATCGTGATGGCCGTACTTCCGTACCTGGTGGTACGAGCATGGGAGCAAGCTTACCTGCGCCCGGCATACGACAGGTACCTGCTCAGCTTCCATGCATCCAGCCGTGCAGCAGCCGATAGCCGCGGCCCTGGGCGTGCTTGGAGCGCTCCCCGGGCGGTTGTGGAGTGGCTGAAGCGACAGCGGCGGGCCCGGCAGGGGGCTGACTCGTCCCACGCAGCCGCGCGGGGAGCTGCGCCCGCAGCACCTGTAGCGGCCCTCACGCTTCCCTCTAGCGGCCCGGCTTTGCCTGCTGTGGCCCGCCCTTCAGATGTCGCGAGTCCTGGTGTACCCATTCTGTATCGGTCGTACATGCAGCACCGTACCATCAGCGCCAAGGTTCCCCATCCCGGTCTCAGCTTCCAAGAAGCTCAGGCGCTGGTTTCGAAGGCAGCAAGCAGCGCTGTAGCCGCTTACAATGCGTCCGCTGCTGCTACTGCCACAGCGGCCAGCGGCGGGGGAGATGCACCCAGGCACCTGCCGGTCCGGCTGCTGTCGTCTGTGTGTGTGGAGGGCTGCGTGCAGCTGCTGATGAGGGTGGGTTTGGAACGAGTGGACGTTAGCGATGGTAGCAGCAGTGACGGAGGTGTTCGCTCGGGGCATCTCAGCATAGAGGCGGTGGCGGCAGACGGCTGGCTGGACGCATCGGCAGTTGAACTAGCGCTACAAGAGCTCCTGACATCCGCTGTTGCTGGTTTCAGGGAAGGGGGCGGCGGCAGCAGCAGAGCCGGCGCTTTCCTCTGGCCGCCGGTGTTGCCCCTGAGAGGATCGCCGGGGGAAAATGCAGACGGCGGGGGCAGCCATGCGCTTGTATCAGGCAGCCAAAGATCGAATGATGCAAGCATGAAGGAGGTGCTGGTGCTTGCCCCCTCCCGGTCGCTGCGCGGGCTTGTCTCCGTGCGCTGCGTGGTGGCTGGGCGCAGGGGGGCGGCAGAAGGAGGAGGAGGGCGGCAGGGGGCGGTGGTGCAGCTAGACGAGGTGGTGGAGGTGGAGCCAGTGGCCGCGGTAGCAGGTGGAGGAGATGAGGCATTTGCGGCGCTAAGGTGGGTGGAAAGCGACCATGTGTTAGATGAAGTGCGTGCTCCATTTAAGGCACGTGGAACAAGAAAGGGCCCTGTAGCAGAGGGAGCAGAGCCCTGAGATTGCATGCGGCAAGACAAGCGTTGAAGGCCCTATGCTGGCCACAACATCACGTGGAGTGTGCCCTGAAGGTGGCCGCTGCACATTTCGCTTAGGCGCGATACCAACGCATACCGGTACCTTCATTTTCCTTACACCACCCTGCCGCAGGCTGTCCCTCCCCCCCGCCGCCCTGCGCACCCCCGGAGCCCTGACGCTGCACCTGCTGCCGCCGCGCAACACTGCGCCACCGCCGGACCCGCAGCAGCAGCAGCAGCCTGGGCCTGACGCGGCGGCCTCAGCGGCTGCGACGGCGCCGCTGGCCACCATGCCACTGCTGGTGCTGCCCGCCGCCGCAGCCCAGGAGGTACGGCAGCTGTACGGCAGTGTGCTCGGGGGCGACACGGTACGGCAGCTGGAGCAGATGCTGATGACGAGGGATGCGGCGGCGTTTGACCGGACTGGGAACCCTGCTGGTGCTGCAACCGCAATCCACGAGAGCGGCCTCATGAGCCTGGCTTACGACATCGATGACACGCTACATCTGCCGTACCACACACCTGCGTGGACGGCTCAACCAGCTTACCCACGGGTTGCCGCCATTGACCTCCTGCGCTTCCTCACACGTCAGCGCATGCCCGCCTGCCTGCTGGAGGGTCTGCGAGCGCTGGGCAGTGCGGGTGTGGAGGTGCGGGATGTGGTCCGGGAGCTGACGGCTGCGGCTGAGGAGGGCGGAGAGGGAAGCGGCGAGTGGCTGCAGGGGGTGGTGCGGCAGTTGGAGCAGCTGGGGGCGGTGGAGGAAGCCGATACGGGTCAAGAGCCGGCCACGATGCGCATAGATGCGGCCAGTGGCAAAGATGGCGATGGCGACGCTTCCACCAGTTGCGGCTCGGAGCCCACAGTTGCTGCAACCGGCCCGGCTCCTGCCACAGATGCCGGCATGAGCCTTGCCCGCCCTCCCCGCCCTGACGTCTCCCGCTGGTCCCTGCTGGTCTGGTGGCTCCACGCGCTGCTGCTGGGCTTCTCCCCGCCCGCCCTGGAGCGATCCTACCAGGCCTTCAAGGCGGCGCAGTGCCATCGCGTAGATAAGATGGGCCTAGCTATTACGTTCGGCATTCACCTCTTGTCGACGCTGCGCACTTGCCAGGGGATTGCTAGGGTGGCCGCCTCCACAAACGGTGTGGGGACCCGATGGGTGGAACACGCTCAGTTGCAGCTGGCGTCGCAGCTGGTTACGGCGGCACCTGATGCACTTGTCTTGGTGGCTGTTTTCTGCACCTCCCTACATGCCAGGTAAGGTGTTGGGAGTAGGGTTATAGTGCGTAATTAACAAGCAGCGACAGAAGCTGCCGCCGTGGGGTACCCCACTATGCTTACATGGCCTTCATTAAGCAGGTTGAGTCGTGCTATTGTTGTGAAGACTGTAGGGCTGCTACCTAACCCCAATGGTGTCCATAGTGGCGATGTGTCGTCAGTGTCGACGCGAAATCTCTTTCCTACATGTGCCGATTGCTTACTACGGTAGTCCTTCGAGTTGGCCTGAAGTTTCCTTGGACACCGCTAACTTTCCTACCTGCTCGTTGAACAGGCACCGCAACGCACTTCTGCTGTTGTACACCTACCTGGACTCCGCTGCACTTGTCCTTGTGTTGCTGCTACTGCCGATACCCGACGTGTGGATCGAGGCAATCCGTCGCAAAAGCCTGCATTGGGTCATATACAGTCTATGGAGACCAGCAATGCTGCAGGTTGGTAGGCGGGGTAGGGCATTAAGAGACACCAATACTGTCATGTAAGGAGTCCCTTGCGTAAGGTGTAAGGAGTCGCTAGTTCCTGCTCACTACCATACATGCTGCAATATCCTGGGTCAGGTCACTGTGAATGGTGCGCGCAAATGGGCACATGTGGAATTAGAATGGAGTTTGCAACCAGTGAACTGCCGCGACCAGTTCCTCTGCGATTACCATGTCCCCTTGCTGCAGTTGTCACCATATTTCCAGATGCGGGCTACACTTGCGTACCTGCTGCCGACTGTGCTGCTGGTGCGAAAGGGTCATGCGGGCCGCTGGACACCTGTGCTGGTCTTTGCTGTGCTCAACGCGCTGTGCAACACGCTTGTCGCTTGCGCCACCGACTTGCCAACACGCTGGTGGTTTTGGCGTCGGCGTGCAAGTCCTACTGGTGGCTATCGAGTAGGCCCTGAAGGTGAAGGCCGGAGCAGCCCTCAGGGAAAAAAGTCATCTTAGGGGGCGAGGCAACTGAAAGAGATGATGTAGTAGCTTTTAGCTTGTTTTATACGGTACAGTGTAAGTTGTCAACATTTATGATTGCGTATGAGGTGTTCGAAGGTCCATGTTGTTGTTGAGACAGCAAGCAAGGAAATGGCCTTTCCAGTAATGGATACTGACAATCTAGCTGCTGGATGAGGTATAACAAACTTACGTAGGACAACATCGCTGTTCTCGGCATCAGCTGTCAACACAGACATGTCTGGTGCGGTGTAATTGTACAATTTGTGCAGAAGAGGATCATAAGTACTGAGCAGAACTGGGATACCTTTATTACCTTCCCACTAAGCGTGTAATCCAGGATCCAATATCGGAAACATGTTCGATAAACAGCCGTTTTTCTGCGGGCCGTGGCCAGGTATGGTAAAGCAATATAAAATATACTTGGGGTTAACTTATATTACACACACAATATTACTTAGGCGGCAAGCTGTTACAACTAGAGGAAAAAGAGGATGCCTACAGTTACCTTTGTGTTGTACCTACGTGAAATGCTTTTATCGAATTGTAGCAACTGAAAACCACACGCAAAAAGTCTGGTAGTCCTATACACGACATCCATTCCCTGGCATGCTCATCATGAGCGTACCGTATCGAACTTGCAAGAATATGCTTACCAACTTTCTTCGAAGCGTGTAACTACTCAAGGATTTGTTACAATGCCCCCGTAACTTGTTTTTTTGTAGGAAGTCCCTGAGAAGTCCAGCCCTTGTGAAATGTTTTGTATCCGTTACACCCTCTTCCGCTTGCCTTACGCTGCCGGACAACAACTGCAGCGCCGAAGGAGCCAAGCGGAGGGGCTAAACATTGATACCAAAGCAGGGTCCTTCAATCGCTCGCTGGTTCAGCGAGGACGTGTAGGTTCGCTGCAGGAGCAGCTTTGCACAGATATGCATGGTACACTGTCCGTCCGTACCCCTCTGCACCTCCCATATCCTATGCGCTGCGAAAGACAAGTCCCTCCGCCATTCCGCCGTAGCCTCACATCGGTCAATGCTATAATAACAAGAGGACTTTGCCAACACTGACATGGGTACAATAGGTACAAGGGTCGGCTTGCACTCACTATAAGTAGCAACCCAGTAGCAACATAGCGACATTCCATATATCCACTTGTTTCAATATAACAAACACATCCCGGGTACTTCAACCCACACTACAAATTGTACATCTCAGCTGTACCTGTGCACTGTGATAGCCTGCATAACCCCAATCCAGGCATGGAACATCGGTGAAGGCCCACAGAAACGCGTCAGGTACGTTGGAATGGCATGGCCCTCGGCCATGTACGAACTAAAACCTGATTAAGGACTGCACGCACGCCAAACCGATTACCAAAACCCCACCGTTCCGTGGGTCATCATAACTTTACAATACGGTAGGTAACCTTAAGGACCAGAGTACCTCACGCATGGCCCCGCAAGGCGGCAAAGCGCCGGCGCGCCCGCCAGTCTATGACGGCTGAGAGGAGCATGCCGCACACCGCGCAGCTTGCAGAAAACACCAGCGCAGGGCGCCAGCGGCCGTCGTAGAAGTGTCTCATGAGCAGGGTAATAGGGAGCAGGTTTGCCAGGGTGGCCCGTACTTGAAGGTATGGCGACAACTGCGGGAGCAGGACGGGATTGAGGTGAGGGGGAGACGGGTGCCCTTAGGCTTTGCAAGGTGGGAAACGTGACAATTTACGCCTTGGCAACCATGTGACAATGTGTCATTCACATAGAACACACGTGGAACTATGACGGCCGCTAAGAGAGCCACATGCGCACTGTCACGCGGTGCCAAACTTAGTCACGGCCGCGTTCCAGCCTAACCACCTGCAGTGTCGCCGGCGCCCAAATGCTGCGAAGGACCCAGTGCAAGCGGTAACGGCGGAGGACCGCGATCCACACATCGGGAATGGGCAGCAGAGTTGCTGTCCAGGGCACGGGGAACGTGACCAGCAGCAAGGCTCCAGCGTCCAGGCAAGCCGCCAGCAGCAGCAGTGTGTTACGATGCCTGCACGAAGGGGTTTGAAGGGGCAGTAAGGTAGTGGAGTAAGGTCCAGGTCTCGGATACAGACTAGAGTAAACGGCGTCAGCAGCGCCGCTCTTTTCACGCTCCGAACCTTTCTGGGTCCTTCGCTACTGCAGCATTCCAGTGCAAACCCACAGCAGCGCAACCAGCCCAAACCCCTGGCGTTCGTGACATGGATGACACGTGTGTCTCGTTTTAAGCTTCAGCAGAGGACAGTACGTATTCCTCACAGTACGCAACGTGTTGTTCTTTTCTTTACGACACCTAGCGCATCTCATTGCTTGGGATTTATTGCACGTCGCCTCGCGCACTGCACATCTACCCACCTGACATGCATGCGTGTGAAGAACGCGAGCGCCAGCACCACAACTGCCGTCGCCAGCAGCACTGACTGGGAGAGCAGCTGCAGTCGCCATTGAGCCACGCGGCCGCTAGGTTCGACGAGTGGCATGTACTGCGTGTCATTGGCGCACTGGCCACCGCTGCTGGGGCCCATGCTGAAAGTGCGCAGCGTAGAAACAAAGCGAAACATTACCATCAAGGCCAGCACCGTCCGATCCAACCAGAAGCACTGCGCCGCTTTGAAGGCCTGGTAGGATCGCTCCAGGGCGGGCGGGGAGAAGCCCAGCAGCAGCGCGTGGAGCCACCAGACCAGCAGGGACCAGCGGGAGACGTCAGGGCGGGGAGGGCGGGCAAGGCTCATGCCGGCATCCGTGGCAGCAGCTTCGACGCTTGCCGCTGCGGTCTTTGAGCCGCCATTTGTGGAAGTGCCGCCCTCCGCAGCGCTAGCGGCATTGGGGTTAGGTGAAAGCCCGGCAAGGGTCACAGTCACTCCCATTTTTCCCACCCCCAGCTGCTCCAACTGCCGCACCACCCCCTGCAGCCACTCGCCGCTTCCCTCTCCGCCCTCCTCAGCCGCAGCGGCCAGCTCCCGGACCACATCCCGCACCTCCACACCCGCACTGCCCAGCGCTCGCAGACCCTCCAGCAGGCAGGCGGACATGCGCTGACGGGTAAGGAAGCGCAGGAGGTGCACGGCGACGACCCGTGGGTCCGTTGGTTGCTCATCAGCAGCAGCGTACGGCAGCTGAAGCATGTCACCCATGTCGTACACCAGGTCCGTCAGGCCGCTCTCGTGGATAGCGGTAGCGGCAGGTGCCAGTCCTCCCACTGTAAATGGCCCCACCAGCAGCATCTGCTCCAGCTGCCGTACCGTGTCGCCCCCGAGCACACTGCCGTACAGCTGCCGTACCTCCCGGGCTGCGTCGGCGGGCAGCACCAGCAGCGGCAGGGTGGCCAGCGGCGCCGTCGCAGCCGCTGAGGCCGCCGCGTCAGGCCCCGGCTGCTGCTGCTGCGGGTCCGGCGGCGGCGCAGTGTTGCGCGGCGGCAGCAGGTGCAGCGTCAGGGCTCCGGGGGTGCGCAGGGCGGCGGGGGGGAGGGACAGCCTGCATCGAAGTTCAACAAAAGCAATATGTATCAGTAGTAGTATTTGAGTAATACGAATACATCTGTTCGCCTAACATGCAGCATGGGCTGTGGCACTAATCCTAGCTTTCTTGAGTAGACTCGCTGTAGCCATCGTAGGGCCATCTCACCACAATGGGCAGTTAACTTACACCTGTCCCATTTACGCGCCACGCCTCTATATACATACCTGAAGACGACATGCTCGCCCTCTTCAGCCGCGGCGACCTCCAACACCTCATCCAGCTGCACGACAGCCCCCAGCTGCTGCTGCCCTGCTCCTACTCCTCCTGCCGCCCCCATGCGCCCAGCCAGCACGCAGCGCACGGAGGCAAGCTCGCGCAGCGACCGGGAGGGGGCAAGCACCAGCACCTGCGCCTCCTCCTCCCCGTCCTTATTCTCTTCCTTGCCCGTGGTGCTCAGTACTTGGTCGTCCTTGAGCCCTTCAGCAGGCTTCAGCGCCAGCACAGGTGGCCAAAGGAAGGCAGCACCACTGCTGCTGCTGCCAGCACGCGCCTCCGTTTCAGTCAGCAGCCCCTGAAGGCCCGAGCCAACCGCTGACATGTCCACCCCGCCGTCCGCCGCGGCCACCACCACCTCGACGCTCCCAGTTTTCCTGATGACATGGCTGTGGCTCCTGCGTCGACCAGCAGCCACCTTCACTCCCTCGCCCTGCAGCACCATCAGCAGCTGCACACAGCCCTCCACACAGGCCAGAGACTGCAGCCGCACTCGGCCTCGCATGGCGGCAGCGTTCTGAGCAAACGCTGACCTAGCCGCGTTGGTGACGAGCGTTGCCCCTTGCTCAAAGCTCAAGCTGCCGCTGCTGCCGCCCTCTCCGCGCGGCAGCCGTACTTTAAGGCTGATTATCATGGTGCGGTCGCCCCGAGGGGAGCGGTAAATGGGCCCAGGCGTGACCTCCGTGCTGCCTACGTCGGTATCAGGACTGTCGGAAGAAGCCACGTCGGAACCACCGCCATGAGAGCCTGGCGCGCTCTCGCTGCTGGATACGGTACTGCTGCTGTTGTTGACGCCGCGAAGGTAGGCGTGATAGCGCGGAAGCAGGTAAGCTCGCTCCCATGCTCGTACCACCAGGTACGGCAGTACGGCCATCACAATGAAGAGCAGGGCTGCCTGGGCGGGTGTGAGGTACTGCGGCTGGGAGGCCCCCGGGGGCAGCAGCCGGCGGTCCACGGCGAGCATGGCGGTGATTAACAGTAGCCAAAGGAGGGGGCCGACCAGCAGCTGAAGTGATGCCGGCAGCTGTTGGCGGGGACGCCGTGACATACACAGTTTACAAAGGGGTTGAGCTTAAAGTGGTAAAGGTGAATGTAAGGAGTCTCGCCCATATCGGTTTGTGCCGACGCCGATACACGCTGACATGCATCTTTACCACATGGCTTGGCTTCTGCATCATCTAAAGTGTCCTATGCCCAAGTTTGCTATGTTAGCCCTCGACTCAAGGTAGCTTACCCGATGCACGATCACCGCTCGCCAGCCGTAGTACACAGCCGCCAGCCGCCGCTGCGCCGCGCTGAAGAATGCCGTGAGCCCCAGCGGCAGCAAAGCCTCAGGCACCCAGGCAGCAGCTACGTGGGCACTTAGCAAGCCGAAGAAAGTCGCAGCAACCACGAGGGGGTTTCGGAACCGCTCGTAATGTTGGGGAGCGAGCAGCGCCAAACTAACTGTGATAATGTTCGCCAGAACTTGCCCGAGGTAGCCGACATCGCAGGCACGCAGCTTGACCCATGGGTCAGCCATCGCCCCCGTGCGGAATACGTACGCCAGCTGTCCGGCGTAACTGGTGTTGCAGGGGAATTCGGAAAGCAGGGTGGCCGTATGGCTAACGACATGGTCATGTAGCGGCAGCACCTGATCCAGCCCGTTGGGTCCCGGACCACACATCATGCTGACAATAGAGTGCAGGGTGCACGGCGTGTTGAACAGCAGCAGCTCCGAGATTGGCAGGATGATGTCGGCTAAGCGGGCTCGGTGCGCGAGCCAGCGACTGAAGCTGACCTGCTGCACTGCCTCTCTGGCCATCTGGGCCAAGCTAAGGGAGGGCAGCCGTCCTAAGCGCTGCCAGACCTTGCTCAAGAACAATGTTGCGGAGGCAAGCAACGGTAAGCACAGGATACTATCTTAGCAAATGCTAACGCGTTGTCAGTTACGACTCGTAGTGGTGAGTGCTTCCGCGCGGTAAACCTGGCCTTGGACAGAGCAAGCCGCAGCCGCCTGCACGTTTGGGTAAAAGGTTAAGTGGAGTTATTTCTATCCGTCCCAGTTGCTGCCTACTTCCACACGTGAATACACAGAAGGTAAAAATGTTGGCAAAAAGGAACCGAGTCGGGCACAGAGCCCAACGGTTATACGACACGACCAATCCTGCAGGGCCCCCCCGGATCATACGAAGCACAAGCTCACAAGATTTTGATTCGATTTCATGGTACACAGTGCCCCCGTTTGGTCAGTCTTTTAGCCAGCCAGTAGGACTGACCAGCTACCCTAACCAGCAGAGGTTAGGCACGGTGGCCGTAAAATAGTAAACTACTTCGGTTTGTAAAGGTTTGTAGGCCAATCTGGGAGAGCATCGCTTCTGCAACCATAGCGGAAGAGCCGCATTGAGTGCTCATGTCACTAACAGTTACAGCGACTGCTCGACAACGTCTTGGCTTTGCCTAAATGGCTAGCAGCACGCACGCTACAACTAGTTCGGACAATGGTAGCAAGAGGAAAGACATGTTCCACACTATCTGTGGCGACCATGAGACTGGCTGCGAGGCGGCGCAACGCGTCAGCTTTGGACGTTGGTTTGCGCGCCGAGCCCGGAAGACCGACGTTCTGCTGCTCCTTTTGGAGTTACTGATTTTCAACACACCGTACATTGCGCAGTCCATGTTGGGCCTGCGCTGCGTCCCAGTGGGCGGCGGACCGCACGCGGCGCTGCAGGAGCTGATGCCGCAACTCGACCCCGCCGCCAGCCGCGCAGATGCAGTGCTAGCCGGCTTCCCGTGTAACGCCAGCTATACCGGACAGCTGCTGTACGTTCTGCGCACTGGGGCCGTTATTGACCCATGGGTCAGGCTTCGCACTTACGACTTCAGCTATTTCGGACATACCGTTCCAGGTGTCTTGATCATTGTCTTGGCGATGATGGCCCCGCGCATGTACGAACGGTGCCGTAACGCCTTGCTAATCACTGCCAACGTCGTCAGCTTGCTGAATGTCCACGCCGCTGCCGCATGGTCGCCTGACTGCCTGCTGCCGCTGGGGCCGGCCGTGTACATGACTGCGGCGAGGCGACGGATGGGCGCCGCGTATTTGGGCTGGAGGGCCGTCATGCTCCAGGTGAGCGAAAAATTTGCCTTCCCAGGGGTGCTGCCTGCAATACCGTATAGAAGGCGGAAGGGCGCTAGCATGAAGCCGCATCACAGTAAATTTGTAGGGATACGTGATAGCATCGTTACTGT